TTCCAACATACCTCCACGAGAAGCCTCAAGAGAGCCCCAACATTGGGCGAAACGTGCCAACATGGAACAGGATATGTCCCAAGAATGCACCAAGATCGCCGAAGATTGGCACAAACGTGCCCCGACTTTAGGCACCCACTGGAGCTAGCTTTCATAAGACAAAGCAACAAAAACGACAAAGAAAACTGTCAAGACCACCTTTCTTCACTTGTCGGACCTCATTTTTGCATGATTTGTGTGTTTCACACGCACTGGGCAAAAAGACCACCTGCCCAAGTCAAACAGCAGAGAAAAAGCAGCCAAATTGACCAACATGGCCGCAAAACAAGTAACATAACAGCAGCAAAGCCTTCAACATAGCCCTGATCTAGACCCCACGGCCCCAATCACTTCCAACATACCTCCACGAGAAGGCTCAAAGAGAGCCCCAACATTGGGCGAAACGCGCCAAGATGGAGAAGGATGTGCCCAGGAATGCCTGAAGATCGCCGAAGATTTGCACAAACCTGCCCTAAATTTGACCACCAACTGGAGCAAGCTTTCATAAGCAATAAAGCTCTCACAAACACATTTCTTGCACTTGTCCAAACCTTTGCGATGCTGGTTATGTTCCCTGGGGAAGACTGCAGTATTGACATCATGGAGTGCTCGTCAGGAGCAAGCTTGCATACGCAACAAATTATAAAAAGAAGCTCTCAAAAACACCTTCCTTACACTTGTGGGACCTCATTTTTTCATGGTTTTTACAGTGTTTTATGCACATTGCACTTCAAAGCCTTCGAATGCGAGATAAGAAGATAAACCTCAAAAATTGCCTCCCGTGCAGGTAAAATGCAACTTTTTGAAGGTAAATAAGCTCAACACAAACCCATCCAAAGCCACTTTTTACTGTAAATTACGGTGTTTTATGGACCTTCGAACATGCAAAAAAAAACCCGCGCGGTCTGCAAATCAGCTTGGCCCCCCCCCCCCCCCCCCCCCCCTTCCCTTTCGGTAATACTTCCAAGCGCTACAGCGCTTTCCGTCATCCATGCCAATCAGATTTGCATCATCTTCAAAAATGGAGAATCTCTGGCATCACTACTCTCACATTGAGAGAATCAAACAAGGGAAGCCCGGGAGGCCTGGGAAACGCTGGATTGAAACCAAAAAGAAAAGTCGGAAAGCTGTAACTGGCCTCTGCACAGCACTCGGTGTGTTTGCTTGGACAGTGGCTTGCACATCCGTGTCCGTGGCTTGAACAATCATCCCTGCAACTTTCTGGCCTTAGGGCACAGGGGTGATCTCCAAATTCCAAATCTATCCACAGTCCACAGATTTCACACATACGGAGCCTTGAAATTCTGGCAGAGCAGCTCTATCTACATGTTCTACATGGTGTGCAGATGCTATAGAAAAGAAGTTGAAAGGAAATCAACCCCGACAGGAAAATAGAACACTTTGAACAGTTTCAGATCCCGGACAAGCCGAATACCGAAACCGAAAGCATTTGGAATGACCTTGCCGGCATCAACCAAGTGTACATGTTTTTCTTTTAGCCTGTGGCTCTGCCTCCTCAATTAAATAAGAGAAAACGCTCCTAGCTACTTGAGCTATTAGCGCACAACTGGACGCAGGATAGCTCACGCTTCTTCAAGGAAGCTCCCCCCGCCTGAGTAGTGTGAGTACCAAGATGATGTCAAGCAGAGCACTCAGAGCCAAGCTCCAGAGAGTGTTGGTAAACACTGGTAAAGACAAACGCAGCTTTGGCTGCGGATCCATCGATACGTCCTTCCTGGGCGACCGGGCATCTTTTCCTTACCTCCACAATGAGTATGAGCCTCTTGGTCTTTGGATATCTCAGCCTCAACGTCCTCGGCCTTGATGAGATGAGCATTAATTTGTTGGAAGTGACAGCCTCTCAACGAGGCTGAGATAAGATATTGACGTCTGACATGCCCAACTGTCACAATGCGAGTGCTTCCCCTTCTAAATATGAAGCAATCCGCCTCCAACAGCGTAGTTTTACACACCAATCTTATACCTATTTACAAAGAACATCGCTACTAGTAGCTCCTGGCCTTACTACTAGGAACAAGAAGCTACTAGGAGCAAGGGTATCGCTACTAGTAACAAAGAGCAATACTACTAGCAGCATTCTTGCCAATGTGAGCACCTTTCAAGAGATTCATCTAGCTGACATTTCATTTTGCCTGAACGCCAATGTCTAACCGGGGTGGCCACAAATGTCGATGTTTCCGAGGCCGGATAAGCTTCATCCGGATGGTACTGCTCCGTTGCCTCGTGCTTTATGCGCACATCTTGGGATTCATTCTACTTGTCGGTTCGAACGTGCTTTTGAAGGGAATCTCACAGATCTTGACGTTCCATTAATCATTACAGCATCACTTCAGGAATGTTGCAACGTTGCTGGGTTTGGCCGAGGAACTACAACAGTGTAGGAAGGAATCGCTGAGTCATTACAAAATGCCCCAATCATTCAAACATGATTCTGCGAGTCTGTTTCTGGCTGGCCTGGACCACTGTTGTGGCTGGCCTGCGCAAGAAACTTCCAAAAAACGTCCAGTTAAAACAACAATGCTAAGCGAGCCACACGAGGCACAACGCTAACATCCATGCACCTCTCTGTGTCGAGATCAATCTGCAAGAAGGCCTGGGAGAAGGACGTTCGAGAAACAGGGGTGGCTTCCAAATCATACGCAACAAAGCATGCTCTAACTGGGTCAGTTCAGCCAGTCTCTGCCCCCCGTCCTTGATCTTCTCCAGCATCGGTGCCTGCACCACAGAGATGCCAACCGCAACAAGTTGAGACGGTCACCGATTTGTTCAACCGGCTGGTCAAGAAGAGCAGATGGTCATGTCCAAGCAGGTGCAGAAACAAACCACACTTAGTCACTAAGTCACTGGGTGTACCTGGGTGACTTTGACATAGATTGTCGAAAGATCGCCTAGCTACCAGTCAACATGTTTGACCTAGCAGAGAAGGAACCCTCCACAACCCATATCATTGTGCGGAGCGTTCCCGATTGAATGTTGAAGCAACTGTTACGCAAGTTGCACTAACCATCACAACCCCCATCAACCTCAAGAAACAAGCATCCATCCACAAATTCCAATTGGCTGCGCTGCTACCGAAAGCTCAGCAACCTTGACCAAAAAATCTGACAAACAGCTCCTGATGCCAACATCTACCCCAAAAGCCACCTCGAGAGTCCTCCACAAGGTTGGGGTTGAGACGATGGCAGAAGCCTTGGTGGGACATCTTCAATTTGGATCGTGGGCAAAACGGTGAGGAGTGTTTTTTCCGAAAATACAAGCTCTACTTCCACTGAGGAGTGTGCCAAAAGGCGCTGATCATGCACTGAGAAGCAGCGATCCAGCCGCGCGACCAACTGCGAGAAATATGAAATGTCCCGTGAATTGCTTTGAAAATGTTGCTTCATGTCCGGCACAGGGATCTGTAGAGCCAACAATGTATATCTCCCATGGCTGCTCTGTGAAGCCGAAAGTCTCCAACCTCCCCACTGAAGGTGGTAAAGGTCTCTGTCAGCAGCGGTGCCTCTCAGTCCGTATGTCCGATCGCAATGCCTTCGGTTGCCTCTTTCAGTATCCACGTCCTTCACTGCCGCTACAGATCACTGCTTTATCAGGTATTCCTGAGCGTTATTCCCCACTCACCCCGTAGCGGAATTGATCCATCGTCTGACAAACATTGCTTTTTTTGCAGCACAGTTCTAAAGTAGTAGTATCAAGCGGGCGAATCACATGAGCAGTACTGTGGATGACTCAAGTGTACCTGGAACAGGCTTCGAGACTGAGACAAGAATGGTGTCCCGTGACTGGTGTCGTACACACAAGGATTAATACCCAAAGGGCCTTCTTCATTTCTATGTACGAGGTTGCAACCATATACACGAAAGTGTCATTTGAGTCCTTTTTATAGATGCTTTCGGACGGAGTCACCTATGGCCCCACCATAGTGCAAATTTGCAGACCACACCTCCAATGTGCAGCTAGAAAGGCCAACTAACCTGGGAGATGATGGGAGCAACAAGCAAAAGGAAAGCATTGGCTTGTTACTTTTAAGTTGGCAAGGGATGTGGTTCAACCGCCCAAAAGAGCACAGCAAACAACATCATGTGAGCAGCATTCGGCACATTCACCGCTCGCTCGACCGCACAATTTTGATGCACCCCCTGATAATGTCGTTAGTGACAGGTCCAATCTGGTTGCACAAATCTGATATTCCTATATGTAATTCCTAAATCCCAAGAAGGATTGCCAACTTACCGTGCTTAGGCATCAGCAGGTTGCAAAGCTCATGCTCTGAGAGCTGGCCCGGCTGAAGCCAAGTCATTGTCTGAAGCAAACTTGGCCAACTCCTGTCAGATTTAGACAAATGGGGGGGCCTCTGCCCTTAAAGCATGCAAAACCCTTGAAATCATTAGTGCCACAAACACCAAAGAAGTTGTATCTGCTTACTGTCCGCTGTCATAAATTCCTCTTATATTTCCTTGAAAACATTTTTCAAATTGTCCAGTAGACTTTAAAGTAGCTGCGAGCAGCAAAGAGCCTCGCCTTCACAAGTTTCAATCCAACACTCACTGCGAGGTATGTCCCAAATCTCAGTGCCTTGACACCAAGGTTTCGGGGAGTTGTGAGAATGCCCAGGCAGCGTTGGTCACCTGAAAAAGACGCCAGTGAGAATTCTTCCACTACCAAGCAAACCTTCAAAAAGAAACCTCCCTGCCAACATAGACGGCTTTCTTCTGATTCTTCCCCAACAATCAAGCACCCCAAGTGCAGTATAAGTGCGGTCAGACTTGGGCCGTTCTACCCGCATCAAAGGCTGTAGCGACAAATTCATGTACGGGCGTTTCATCATTCCGTCCCATCGCGGTCGCAGTTCAACGGTGAAGGAGTTTAACTCAGCACGCCTCGTAGGCCGGCGCCATGAGCCACGGCTGTGCTGCCAGGAGGGTCGAGGCTAAGAGTTGCCGCCACGCCTGGACTCTAAGGCCGATCAAACGTCTCAATGGCTTAATCAAAGATGTAGCTTGGCAACCTCAGGGCACCTCGGATTTTGCAAAACAAAGTATTGCAGCTGTTGCCGGCCACAGGGGTGATGATTCCAGTGTCACCTCCTTTGGCATTTCAGGCCATTGTACCTGTAGCCATTGTCAACAAATTTGCCTCCACCGCTCTAATTTAAGACCGTATTGTATCGTATCGTACAATATTAAGTTGACGCAATACAACTGATGTTACAAACCGTCACTTCGCAACCCTTGACCTTCCCTCACTCCTCGAAAGTCATACAGTTGGTGGTGGGTGCTAACCTTGGGTTCCCTGTGTTTTGAAGCCTTTAGGGTGGGCAGCAGCTCCGGTTTCTGGTTAATTTCAAAGTATATGGGTACTTCGTGGCCACCGGTTAATTTTCGACAAACGTTGGTTAGTGGCTTAATGTGTGTGTGTTGGGTTCGCATACAAATGCCATCATTCACTTGTTTAGTGGACTTGGGAACTGCTTTCGGTGCCTGAGTAACACGGAACTCTCATCCCCAAAATGAACTGAGATAACTCGCAAACACCTTGGCCTGAATTTGTCCGCATAACATATTTTTACGGGGCTGAAACCAATTCGGGTGCATCAACGCACGATGTTCTGAGACCTGTCATATGGTCCAACTCCATAGTGTCATCTTGGCAACGCAAGTTGCGCCTCACCATCTGACAAAGACGGCCAAACGACCTCACAGACCATGAAAGAGGAAAAACAACGCAAAAATTATATTCAATTGAGCAGTGCGCCACTGCACAAGCGTGGGGCACCCTCCTTTTACAGGCAATAAATAGATTCCAAACCGTCAAGCCGAAATGTGTGGCTCGAAGCCAGTGGGAATTGCTCAATTTGAAGCAACCTCCCAACTGGGCCATTGGCTGCTAGCGACCACAAGGCCAGTCCTACCTGAAGCCGCCCCACGTCGGCACAGCCAGTCAACCAATGATAACAGTTCCGAGCACATGAAATCTGGCGAAAATGGTTGCCTTTCAAGTTGTTCACGGAAAATGCTGCATTGAATGTGACTGAGCTGATGAGACAAGCAAACAATGAAGGCATAATCAACCTACCTTAGATGAGGAAGGCAAGCAGAAGGTCCTAACAGAAAAAACTGACCTAGCCTTGTCTCTGGGCAACTTGCCGCAATTCTCCACCTCAGTTGCAAGTGGAAAGAATATGTTGATATCATGTGTTTTCTGGTCGATTCCGTTCTTGGGAAGGACATAACCCAGTCTGACATGGACTTTGGTGGAAAGAGTCCGAAATGACTGATCACGGTCCACGCTCCTCCAAGCCTTGAAACGCGCTCATGGCTCATGGCCGGTGAGAATGTGTGTCCCTTGCACATGCCGGAATCAAACCGCAGGGCCCCATGGTGTCTCCCTCACTGATAAAGCCAATGAAGGGTGGTGTGGAAGCCAAAGTCGAAGGAGTCCAGGCTCGTGACTTTGAAGAGCTCCGGCATGTAGTGGGGTAAAGTGCTTGAAGTTCCTTCATCACAGTATTGCGACCCTCTTTGCAGCTTGTTTTTCCAAACATTCTGCTTCAAGAGCTGCAGAAGTCCTTCTCGGGCAGCTTTGCTCTTCTCGGTGAGGCGATCACCCAAGTCAGGCAGTGGCCTGCAAGGCACTGCAAGCATTAGCAAGCATGGGCCGTTCGCTGCAGGTGTTTCCACCTCAACAAGCATGCTCTGAAGGCGTGGTCTTCACCCTCCAAGATCCACTCTATCGCCGTCTTTGGTCGAGATGACCTTGCGGAGCAGTTTCCAAGTCCAGCACATTGAGCTTGCCAGCCTCACCGAGGTCTTTGCACTTTTCGGCGATGAGGCCACCAGTCCTATTGCCATTGGGGCGCTTCCCCGCCCAGCCTCTACATTCTCAGTGTTGTAGGCTCCCTGCGCGCGTTGCAAAGGCCACTGAAGTCCTGGGAGGAGCGATGCGCTTGAGCTCGTTGTAGTCCAGTAGTGCCCAAAATGGAACACTGCTCCGCTACCAATGCACCAGCCAAAGTGGGCTTTTGGGGGAGCTTAAACCAAAGGGATCACCTCCATGAAGTCAGGGATGTAGCACCATGGGGCAAACACACAAGTGAAAGGCGTAGCCGCACAGCAGCCCATGGCGGCCTTAGGCCTGTGAGAGGCCATGTGTGCGAAACATGAACGAGCAAACCACGGTCGCGTTGGTCACATACAGATCAATGTTTGCAAAACATTCTTGTTACTAGTAGCTTCTTGTTACTACTAGTAAGGCACTTGTTACTAGTAGCGATGCAGTTGTTCCTAATAGCTTATTGTTACTACTAGCATACAAATCATACTTGGTGGTCTACTCATCTACAGATCCTCTCAGATGAATGCTGACGGTGTTCTGAGCCTCTCACAGCAAGATCGCGAACTAGAAGTCGACAAAGAGCTAAGTGCATCACCTGGAAGGTGCATTGTAAAGCATTCAGCACTGTGACATGTGGTAACTCTGGTTAGAGCAGAAGCTTCTCAGCTTGTTGCTGCAAAATTGCCTGATCTGTAGGGGTATTCCGGACAAAGCCCTGATAAAGTGTTGTCCTGATGGTCGGCCATGAAAGCTCTACATAAATGCCTCGCCTTGCATTTGGCTAACGCCCAAAGGAAGAGCACCTGGATTAGGCGAGGAACGTCGTCCCAATTGCGAGCCCCGCGATGATCTTGACATCAATCAAACAATACATCGAATGAGCAACCCCCACGATGCCCAAAAATCCCTTTTTACAAAAATACTCGTCGTTACTCATCGCCAACTTGAAAGACCTTTGCTGGCTGTGGCAAGATTGCTATCTGCTACATGTCTGGATGTGAAAACCTCTCTAGAGATACATCAAAAAGATACTATATACCTACAACGGATTGTGTGAGGGTTGAACCAAACTAGGTTCTCTTGTGCACCTTGTCCATTGTGTTGAGACCCTTCACTTGCCGCGCAAAGACTTGACCCGACACCAGGCAAAGGGCGGCCTGGCAGGCCGGCAGGCTACCCCGTGAAGGGGTGCCGTGCTTCAATGTGCTTCAAGGGAGCACTTGGTGTTTTGCAACACTTGACTGGAGTACTCAAAGCTTTTGCAGTTGAAAAGGTGGCGCTCGAAGTTGTGTCATGATAAGCAGGCAACGGCCTTCGCATGGCTGCTCAGTCCTTTTTCAGATTTAAGCAAAGGCCTTCTTTGCACAACTCTGGCGCTTCCGTCAAACTTCGACCGACCACATGGTACAGTAGCTCTAGGGCCAGCTGGAAGCACCAGAAGGTGCAAGGCTGCTTGACACAAAAAGGAGTCTCAGCTCATTGATTGTGAAACTCATACTTTGTGCATCCCGCGCTTGGGTCCTAAGCCAGACACAAAACAAGTTTCAGTCCATACTCCCTCCCGAAAAATGTTGGAATGTCCTTTCTTAATCTCGGTGACCTTATTCTCTTTGCATCTAAAGGGTTGCCAAGGTCCACGCCGAAGCCAAATGGGAGATTGCGGGCCGTCAGAATCAGAATGCCACAGCACATCGAGCAGCTGAAGATTGTGGTATCCAAAAGATCCATCATCTTAGCAGGCTCCAAGGCATGCGTGTGAATATGCACAATTCTCACTTTCAACATGCTGGTCTACAAAGGCACCAGGAGCAACATTACATACTTGCTTGCTGAGGTGAACTGTCAAGGCTCAGCTCTGGGCCCAAGCAACCGAAGCCAGGGCCCAAACAGCCATTGCCTGGTTGGCTTGGAAGGCAGTGTGTTCCACGTGTTTTTGCAGAATAACATAGCTATTGCAAGAACTGTCCAAAACAGCATGCAATTTACTATCAACTACATCCAACTACCATCAACCGCCCTTTGCATCTGGCGTTGGAAGGGCCACAGAGCAGAGTAGAAGCAAACGATCTAGAATCTAGAAGCTACGGCAAACGGGGATGGATTGTGTGGTTTAGGACAGTTGGATTGAATTCCTGCAGGTATGTACTGGGTTCTGGCAATGTGACTACCTAGGTAGGCCAAGTTTGATGGACATGGGCACAAAGCACTCCTTCAAGCTAATAACCCGAAGGACCTGAAAGAAAAAACGCAACAGACTGAAAAGTCCTGAAAACCACAAAAAAAGTGCAAGAAGAAACGCCAATCCGTAACTCCTTTGGGGAACCCTGTTTGTTTCAGCTGGTGTTGCTTGCATTTAGTCAAGGCTCAAGTTCCAAGTCCATAAGTTCTCTATGCCCTGACAGGTCCCTGCTACTACTACTACTACTACTGCTGCTGCTGCTACTACTACTACTACTATTGCTACTACTATTACTACTACTATCACTATATACTAAAGCTATTATCACTACTATTGTCACGTCATTATTGGAACTATTATAACTATTGCTACTACTCCTGCTCCTGCTACTACTCATCCTTCAAAGAGCGTCCTGTCAGCCTTGCCGACCCCGCCTTCTTGCATCCAGCAAGCTTGTTTTCCAAGTCCCGGCTCGAAATCTGGTTGATATAGAGAACCTTCAGTTCGTCTTTTGACCGGACTTGGATTCCAAGAAACATGGTCTTCAATATTCCCGAAAGAAACAACGATTTGCGATAACAATGCCCGCTACAAAGCCTTAAGTCCAAGAACAGGCAAGAAAGGCTCCGTATGTATAAATGCATATATATATACATATACTTATATAACTTATATAGATATATGGTATGTGTATGTGTACTGTATATATATATGTACATGAGCTGGGCAGCTAAGCTGTTCGTATCTCCCGGCACACCCAAAACCATCTCTCCCAGTCACAACTACTTCGACGCAGACCTACAGCACAAAAAGGAGGAAGGGAGAGAGAGAGAGAGACAGAGAGGAAGAAAAAAAACATTCGGCTACATTGGTGCTGTCGTTGGAATGCCGACAGGCGTTGAGGCCTAAATCAAAAGCATAACAGGGGCACGCCGCTTTTGGCTGAGTGGTTAGTGAAATCTGCGCGGGCGCCGACGCCAGAGTACGAAGCAGAACGTCCAAGCCAGGAAGCAAGCAATTAGAAGAATATAACTACCAGAAAGGGAAAGAAACACAATATGAAGAGAATATGAACCTTTCAGTGAAGAAAATTACAACCTCCAGCTCATATGAAGTGTGCCGGCATCACCCGAGACGTTTTTCGAAAAGACATGCGCTCAAAAATTTGGGTTTCATGTTTCTCGACCTTGCGTGTTTATCGACCTTATTGCAATTCACACGCCGATCGTCCTCTGACCGCATCTCCCCTCCAAGTATTGGCATCTTCCTCCCGAGGCTCTCTCCCGCGAGGTATTCTGCGGTCCACGCGCCGCCAACGCCGCAAGGTACGACATCCAGAACATATGCAGCGCGTTATAGCAACTTCCTCCCGACGCTCTCTCCTGCGCCGAGCGTACCCTGATCGCGCCCTCCTGTGGCAGGGAACAGTTGGCATCATGCGACCCAAGAAATAGAACGTATTAAAACAAATAATATAAGTTACGGCTTAATTTATAGGATGATATTTCTATATGTTTCTATTCTATCTGGGCTTTTGGTCAAAACAATGATCAAATGTGTGTATATATGTACTACATCAATAAAGGAAATATATATATATATATACTACGTCAAAATTATGTCAGAAGGTACATGTTCATAATATTTTCAAGTATATGCTTACTGTATATATATATGTACCACATGCATTAATACATACATGCATACATACATATATACATACATACATATATACATACATACATACATACATACATCCGTAGCCATTTTGGCTCAAGCTGTGAGCGGTTCAAGGTGGCACACCCTCATAGAAGCCCACCTAGTGCGGCACCCCCTTGCACCACGTGTGCACTGACACCCTCTTCTGGCTCACCGCCACAGCATTCCTCCTGGGCAAGCGTCCTTTGCTCGCAATCTTGGACTTCACCTTCCACGCTCAAGAGGAGCTCTTTGGCAACCGGCAGGTCTCGCCCTTGATTTCCTCTTTGGCATCCAGGACCAGTCCAACTTTCTGGCCAACGACCTTCGGGACAACCTGTACTACAGCTTTGCCCGTGATCCCTACAAGACACCGAACCTTCCAGGCCAGTTCGCAGAGCACGAGGGCATCCTCAAACCATGGCACCAACCAACTGGTGCAGATCCTACACCGTGTGCACTGCCAAGCAATGCACCAACTGGATCTGGGATGACAAAAAGAACCCCGGCACTAGGTGCAGACGCTGTGGCACCTGGTGGTCACAAGGCTCTGCACCCACCGGCAAAGGCAAAGGCCAAGGCCATGGGCAAGGAAAGAAAAGCTCCAGCAACATCGCCTGGACCAAAAGCTCGAGCACCGATGCTCACTTGGAGCCACCGCCGGGTTTGCACAAACTCAAGCCTTTGAAGAAGACCAAGAACCAGCAAACGGCTGCTGAACTGTTGGCCACTACCTGGGACGTCATCCCCAATGAGATCCAGACCAAGCTGGCAGCTTTGGGATTGGCACCTCCTACACCTGCAGAACCAGGCCTCACGGAACTCCTGCAGACGCACCTGAATGCGCTTCCACAACCTGTGCAAGACATCGTCAACAAGCTCAGCCAGCCCATGCCGGCCACAGAGAAGGACCTGGCTCAGCAGCTCAAAACCCAGGTTACTGAGCTGAAAACCATCTCAATGAAGAAGGCTCAACTACAAGTCAAACTGGACCAGACGAAGAGCCAATATGCGGCAATGCTCCAAGACATGCAAGAGCACCAGGCCCGACTCACTGATGGACAACAAAAGCTGAAGACATTGTCCGAAAAGTACATGCAGGCGGTCAACAAAACACCACTGCCAAAGGACTAGCCACGGCTGCAGAGGCTGAGCTTCCCATCCCTATGGCAGTTGAGACGTTTGTCAACAGCTTAGGAGTCACTCTGACAGAAGATCAGCGTTCCCAGCTCCAAGGCCTCCTGAAAAGACCAGGACAGGACGCTGAAGATCCTAGCAAGCGCAGGAAAACTGAAGTCATTGTCCCTGCAGAGTCACCCGGACATTGTGGGTAACAGGAGATCAGCCATGCCGGGCTTTCAAGGGCTTGAGGTGCCGATACCCCTTGATGAATTTGAAACGGCATCAACTCCTAATTCGGTTTGCCGCGCTGCCTCAAGCACAGCATCGGCAAGGGGACAGCAAGTGACACACTGTGCAGGGGACCAGACACAGCAACACTTGCACAATCCAGTTCCAACACCCAATCTTTCCAGGGACCCCTCTTACAAGAGTGAAGGGGAATACACTCTTGACCTAGAGGTTCCGACATTCACCCCACAGGTGAACAATTTTGGTTTTACTGCCTTGGAAGCGGGCGCTGATGGACCTTTGCTCGGCGCACCAGGGCCGGACGTCATCAAGATCCACGGAGGAGCCAACTCCAAAGAGCAGCGCAAACAGCGAGGACCCAAAGTGAGCATGCAAGTTTCGTATGCTTCAACAACGGAGTGCATCTTGCAGAACCTCACCATGAAGGTCGGCAACCCCAGTGCCCGGTGCTTTGCTAATGCCCCCTGGCGTGCATTCACCTGGACATGTGCACTTTTGCAAGAAACCAACACCCAGCCATGGGGAAACCTGCAACCAGCAGTCCAAGAATCCCTGGAGTTGGCAGACGCGGTGGATCTGCTACAGCTGCCAGGTTTGCACCCACTATGGAACAAGCACGACCTCAATGTGCAAGGGGATGCAAGCCATTTCGTCAACACCCTCTGGAACCTCTCTCAGACTCGAGCGTTCCATTACAGACCAAGAAGGGGGCTACCTCAAGGACCACATCCAACAGCCCATCCTGGTGGATTTCCCTGATGACTGGCCGGAAAACTCCACCTTCCAGGACCTGTACAATGGCTGGGCAAACCAAGGGCTGGGTCAATTCCTGCTGGATGATAAGCCGGTGCTCATTTCCCATGTCACCCGCAACACCTGCGTGGGAGGCATCACCACCAAGCATGGCAAGATCCTCAATCCTTATGGCACGTTTACCGTCCCAAAGTCCCTCGATGGCTTTGCCAGATCCTCAGCCGAGTTCGTGCCAGCTGTCCTGATTTGCCACAGGGGCACCAGCCATGACAGCGGCCACTACTTCGCCATTCTCATCTACAGAGACTTGATGTGGCTAGCAGATGATGGCAAACCACCAATCCATTTGGACCACCTCACGCCACAATTGGCCAGCCAGGTGACACAAGTATGGGCAGTCCATGTTGACACCTTCAGAACATCACAACAAGTGCTCCGTTCACTGCCCAGTCCTGAAGAACCGGACTATGACCCACCCCTCCATCCGAGCCCAGATAAACGGGCACGCTTCGAGCAGGAGCACAACCAAATCCACTTTGCCAATATCACCAATTTTGGCAAACAAGTCCTGGACTGGTACTGGTCAAGACACAGTGAAGTGCACATCTTGGTCGAGACACACCTGAACACCAACAAACCTGCCAATATTTCACGGTCAGAGGGCGCACAGCCTTTGGCACACCAGCTCAACCAAATGCAGACAACACAGGCACTCATGGAGGCATCCTGATCTTGGGCGATCCCTCCTGCGGCCTCACACCACTTGAGAACTACTCCCTGCAAGGCTGTGGCTACCAGGCCTTCTTATGGCAGGCCACTGACTGCACCATCCTAGTGGCAGGAGTGTACTTGAAGACGGGCGAAAACATCCAAACCGACACCAATGCCACGATCATCAGCAGGCTATTGGCTCTGGTTGAAGCAACTGCTCATCCCTACATTCTGCTGGGCGATTGGCAAAACAGTCCAAGCAGCTTCACGAGCACGGTCCTTCCTTCCAAGTTTCATTTTGAAGTCTTGGCACCGGATCACAGCCTGCTCTCTGGCAATGTCATTGACTACGGTCTGGTGCACCAAAGCCTTGCCAGCACCACGGCCATCACCACGGAGTGGGGAATTCCTTGGAGACCACATGCACTCCTTACCCTACACCTCAACCTGAAGGCAGCAACCAAAGAATACAGACAGATCCAGTACTTCCCGCCCATGCCGACCACGCCTGACATTGATTTCAGGCCCTGGACCTCATATCAATCCCAGGCCTATGAGCTTGAACTCTATGGCAATCCGCCCAACGATCCGGCAAAACAATGGGCGGACTGGATCTCATGCACCGAGCAATACTTGCTCCAGGAACACCCATGGGCAGCACAAGGCAGAGGAGCTACCCTCCAAGTGGTCACGAAACCACTGATCCCCACCAAAGCCACCACCACGTGGAAAAGGGGAAAGCCAGCTTTCTGGGAACAACTGAAAGTGCGATTCCAACTGGCCATGAAGCAGGCAGCCAACACCACAGCAGGACCTATACGCGGCTTTCTCACAGCACTCCAGGATGCACCCAAGCACTGGGTTGGCCCACCCACGTGGGGACAACTCATGGACACCAGCCACCACTGGGTCAAATTCAGAGATCCACATGCTGCTGATTTGGTCCTCCACACCATCGCCCACC